TTTTAATAATATTATTATATTATATCATAGTTATATAATATGTTATTTAATAATACTTTTATTGTATTATATTAAATATAATAATAAATATACATTATATTGTAGTTATATATATTATATTATATTATAATCGTTATTTTTAATTATTTCAGTTAATATTTTAATAATATTATTATATTCTATATCATAATTATATAATATATTATATAATAATAGTTTTTTTATTATATTAAATATAATAATAAATATATATTATATTGTAATTATATATATTATATAATATTATAATATAATATAGTCGTAATTTTTAACTATTTAAAGTAATTTAATTTTATAATTTATCAAATATTAATTTTAAAATTAACATAATTATTATAATTATAATTTATTAAACATTCAACTATTTTTTATATGAATTACTTTTTATAATATTTTTTTTTTTTTTTCAATACAATTAAAAGTAATTTTTTTAAAATTCACACCCTACCTATAGCGTGGGAAATTTTCAGTTGGAGTTTGGGATCCTTGTCTGAAAGAAGAAAATCAGACATCGAATTTGACTTTCACAATAATCATTCTTCATCACCTGGTTTGGTAAGTTTGCCCTAAAATCCCCATTTTCATCTTCACGGCAACACAATTTCTCTCTAGTTTTTCCTTATTCTTTTCATTTATTTATGCATTCGATTACTTCAAACAGAAGCAAAATACCCGAATTCCCCAAACCCAAAGCACCCTTTGATCTACCACCTTCTTCCCTTCCTTTCCCGAATCTCTGCAACTTTTCTAGGGTTAGGGTTTTGTGAAATGCTGTTAAGAAGAATTCGCAGACAAGTAAATACCCGAATTCCCCAAACCCAAAGCACCCTTTGATCTACCACCTTCTTTGCTTCCTTTCCTGAATCTCTGCAACTTTTCTAGGGTTAGGGTTTTGTGAAATGCTGTTAAGAAGAATTCGCAGACAAGTCAAGCTTTAATCTTTGTCTCGATTACAATGCAATCCAGAGCTCAAATTCTTGCTCCAGGCTTGAATTTTCTGCCGAGCCTAAAACCCCCAAACAAAACCCTAGCTTTCCACCAAATCTCGGCGCTGATTCTAACTTTCCTCGCCTATGCATCCTTCCATGCCTCTAGAAAACCTCCCAGCATTGTCAAGAGCGTTCTCGGACCCAAGATCAGCTCGAATTCATCCGCAATCGAGTTCGATTCGAGCTCGAGCGGATCGAATTTGAACTCGATCGATACCGGATGGGCTCCTTTCAATGGTCCCGAGGGAACCCACCGGCTGGGCGAGCTCGATCTCGCCTTTCTCTCGGCGTATTCTATCGGAATGTACTTTGCCGGCCATGTTGGCGACCGGATCAATTTGAGGTCGTTTCTTGTGTTTGGAATGATGGGTAGTGGCATTATGACTATAGTGTTTGGTCTAGGATATTGGTTTAGTGTTCATGTTTTGTGGTTCTTTGTGGCTGTCCAAGTTGTTTGTGGGATTTTTCAGTCCATTGGGTGGCCTTGTGTGGTGGCGGTTGTCGGGAACTGGTTTGGGAAATCGAAGAGGGGCTTGATCATGGGGGTGTGGAATTCGCACACCTCGGTCGGTAACATTATCGGTTCTGTCGTGGCATCAGGGGTGTTGGAATTCGGGTGGGGGTGGTCCTTTCTGGTGCCTGGAGTTTTGGTGATTTTGGTGGGGGTTTTGGTGTTTTTGTTCCTTGTTGTGAGTCCTGATGATTTTGGGTTTGAGCCTCCTGTTAAGGAGATTGAAATGGATGTGGAAGTGGGAAATGGTAATGTGGGGAATTCTGAGGAGAAAGTAGTGGAGTCGGAGGAAGCTGGGCTTCTTGAGACTCAGAATAGTTCTGATTCTTTTGAGGATGAGAATAATTCTGATGCTTTGGCTGCAATTGGGTTCTTGGAGGCCTGGAGGCTACCCGGTGTGGTGCCATTCGCTTTCTGTCTCTTCTTCTCCAAGTTGGTGGCTTACACTTTTCTTTACTGGTTGCCCTTCTATATAAGGCACACAGGTACCTTGACTTAACTTCCTTTATCATATGAAATTTCATGGATATGAAAATAATACAACTGACCCTATCCAAGTCTTCCAATTGGACAATGAAGTGCTTGTCTGATCAAATGCTATAAGCGATAATTGATTGATGTTAATTTTTTATTTTTTGTTTTTATTCTAAGTTGCACATGCACTTAAAATTCTGCTATACGCGTGGCCAATTGGTGGCAATTCATTTGTATGATGAACTACTATGAATAAGTGATCAAAGCCAGTAATTTTCTTGATACTGAGTTTTATGTGCACTGAAGATTTTGCTGTACACAAATGCCCAATGGAACAACTCATGTGTTATGAAAAACTAGGAAATGCTAGGAGATCAAAGCCAGATAATTTTTGTCAGTTCTAAGTCATATATTTACTGAAGGTTTTGTATTTCATTGCAGCTGTTGCGGGTGTGCATTTGTCACACAAAACTGCGGGAATCCTCTCGACGATATTCGATATAGGAGGAGTCTTTGGAGGGATTTTGGCAGGGTTCATCTCTGATGTGATTGAAGCCCGTGCCGTTACTTCAGTTGGATTTTTGTTACTATCAATTCCAGCCCTTGTTTTTTACCGGGTTTATGGAAGCCTCAATATGTTTGCCAATATATTTTTGATGTTCCTTTCTGGGTTGCTTGTGAATGGCCCATATGCACTCATTACCACAGCTGTTGCTGCTGATCTTGGTACCCAATCTATGATCAAAGGAAGCTCCCGCGCTTTAGCTACTGTGACAGCGATCATTGACGGTACTGGTTCTGTTGGGGCAGCTCTTGGGCCTCTTTTGGCTGGTTATATTTCCACTAGAGGATGGAACGGTGTTTTTCTAATGCTGATTCTTTCGATTTTCTTTGCAAGTTTGTTCTTGATTCGAGTTGCTAGAACTGAGATTAAAGGGAAGATGAGCGAGGAGAAATGGTTTTGGAATAACGTAGGCACTCATTGATAGGAATTTTTTAAGGCTTCATGTATACATATGAGCTTACTTGTAATAATGTATCGTATTCTTTTTGCACATATTGTCAGGCTTCATATACTAGTAATAGATTTTGCCTTTCATGAATCGTATTCTTTTTGCCTTTCATTTTTTCTCATACCCTCTCCTACCTCGGTTTCCAGATTCTTAGCATTTTATGCATATGTTTCTCGGTTTTGAAATTGCCCCGCAGTTCTCTCTCATATGGCTTTGTCAACAGTTGTAGAATTACAGTCTCATGGCCTTTCAACTACAATGGTATTGGTACTCATTTAACTGAGAAACAACTTTACCAGAAAAACAGTTCTTACCAAGTCCAATAAAAAGGGTGACTAGCAAATAAAGTATATACCGGTAAGCATATGTATTGAAGAACTGATATTACAATGCTCAAACAATGTATTTACAGATTAGCCTGCCGCAGATCGGCAGATGTAGAACACAGTTCCTTTCATCATCTTAAGATCTCTCTTATTGCTGACACAACTGAGTGGAAAAAGAAGAAAGAAAAGGAACTATAGGTGTTTTGTCTTAAAATTTAGTGATCTAATGTATGTGTTGTTTCCTTCCATCCCTTCACTAAGCCCCCATTGAGGCATCAAAATTAAACGCGTGAGAGAAAAAGGAAGTTTCTTCTTGTAGATGAATATGTACAAACAGAGTTATGATTGAATCAACTGAGTTCTCTTGTCGAATGATTCTGCACTTCGCCTTTCGGAGGAAAGATCATCAAAGATAAAGGTACAAATCCTATCCTTCAAGTATGCATTTGAGATTGTGAAGTCCCTCTGCAGAAATGCTTCTTCTCACTCTAGGCCTCTCCACCACCACATGCTGAGGCGGCTCTGAGTGAAAACTTACCATGACAACAGTCAAATTGTCGGTTGCTCCTCGCTTTGTTGCCTCCTCGACTATTTGCTTGCAACAGAGCTTCACATTGTTGTGCTCCTGAAGTCTCCGTCGAGCAAAATCTACAGCATTTTGGCTCCTGAAGACATCCCATATACCATCACTGCCAATGATCAAAAACTCATCGTCTTTAGTTAGTGTTATCAATTTGAGTTCTGGTTCAGCACTCAGTGGTCCTCCCTTGTCACCCATCTCCTTCATTCCTTCGAGGTGCCAATCGCCTAATGCACGGGTGACACCTAACTGGCCGTTCAAATAATCCTCATCATCGACATATCCTCCCAGAGACTCAACCCGTGTCCTTTCTTTTATGCAGCTGGGTCTATGATCGCTTGACATTTCTGCAGCACGTCCATTTCGGGACAATACTGCCCGGCAATCCCCAGCATTTGCCACAAGCAAAGATCTGTCCAAAATAACAACACATTTGAAGAGAGGAACAATGAAAAAGAGGTGCAATTAGCCAAAACAATCTGCCCATTTCCTCCAGATTATGTAGAAGAAATGTGCTCACCTCCCGAAAATCATTGCAGTTAGTACAGTTGTGCCAGATGATAGGGAAGATTCAAGAGAACACGTTCTTGCAAAAGCAGCATCCGTCTCCATAAACGATCTTGTCACCACCTTCTCAAGCTCTAAGGGAAAGTCGGCATCTTCGACTATGACTCTTGGCAAATGATCACGAGCAAACTGTGCTGCACCCTTACCTCCATGTCCATCAAATACCTATTAAAAAAAAACCACTTGCGTTAATACTAGTGAATATTACAAGAAAATTATTCGCTATTCATGTTGATTTATATTACTTGTGGACAAAGAGGGTCATTCTGTCAAAAGGGTAACGTTGAATGAGTACATATTCAATGGTCAATAGATCTCTTTGACATGAGATTGCAAGTATAAAAGTTATGTCCATCGTACAATAGACTGCTGATCGATGAACCTTGAGATAAAACATAGATTTCATCTTAAGTTGAAAGTTAAAATAGCCGAGGACGTAATGGAAACAATGGGAAATATTGTAACCGAGGTCTCACAACTCAGCAATATAACTAGTACAAGCAGCATGAATAATACGTGTGATGGAAAATTCTATGATAACGCCTTCATTCCTTCATATTCAACCAAAAAAAAAAAAAAATGATTAGTGCTAAAAAATAGAATGACAAACAATTTTGTGACCCCCGGTAGGTAACTTAAATTTGAATCTCCATTCATTTCAAAACTTTTGTCACATCTCCATTCATTTTGCCACAACAAAGTGATCTACAGTTAAACCCTTTAAGACGATTCAATATGCGGAAATCAAAATAAGAAGTATTTACCCCATAAAAGGAGACAGCTTCCTTATCAAGTACATTAGAGCCAAATTTCTCAGCCAAGTCATTAATGCATATATGAGTATCCTCCATATGGGAACGACCCCCAATGTCAGACCACTCTCCAGACCTAAGCACAGGGACAAAGTTTAACTGGGTTTGTCTATCTACAACCACTCTGTCCTCACAAATGCTCTCCAGCTGCAAAAAACACCAAATCACAAAGTTGAAACATATAAACATAGGATTGCAAGATCAGAAGGATAATAAGTGGAGGACAATGAAAAAAGAAGAGACAAAATCAGTACAGCAACTAAAAATAGAAAGGAAAACTAAAGTATGAAACAAACCTCCAATGTAGGCACAAAAAAATTGCATAGCATAGTTAAAACGAAGCCTGTCTATGGAATGAACTACGTGACAAGAAAACAGAATTTTGGACTAGATTCTAGGAATGATCGAGTTGTCACTTAGTCGGTTCAATCACTTCTAATCACTTTAATAAACGTAATCAAAATTCCCTTATATTAAGGGAATAAAAAGCGTTGAACCAAGATTAGCATTCATTAATATAGACAATGTCCTGAAATTACTTATGATAAAGTTATAAGCATCATCAGTTCTTACATTAAAATGTTTCGGAAATCCAATCATATAAATCCTCTAAAGCAAAAAACAAAAATAAAAAAAAAAATCAGACTGGAAGGGAAAGTTAAGACCTATTTAAAATTGATTCTCTTTTTATTTTTCACATTTTTCAAAAAAAGAAAAAATAAAATGATATTTAACGTAATAAAAATAAAATAAAGATAAAAAATAAAAATAAAAATAATTTTTTAATTTAATATAAAATAAAAAAAAAAAAAATAATTTTTAGTCATTTTTTATTTTGTATTTGAGATATATATATTAATGAGTTTTTTATATTTAAAATAAGATAAAATTATTAAACGTATTTTTTAAAATGATTTATGTCTGAAATTGAAAACGTTTTTATTTTCATTTTCATATAAAAAATAAAATTATTTTAAAATGAATTCTAAACGCGTATAATGTTATTCATTTTTTTGTAGTCTTTGGCTACGATTAGGTGCAAGAGAGACCATATAGACACTCACTAAGATTTAATATTGACGTCTAGATGTACCCTGTCGGTAGAGGAAAAAAGGCACCCTACCATAGAGATTCCCATATTGTTATAGAGGTTTTACTGTATTTCATATGTTTTGTAATTGTGTTAAAAGCTGTCCTACTAATGAGTTTTGACTCTTGTTCGTCGTTCTAATATGAAAAGGCAACTTTTTTTTCATTAAAAATTCTACCCTTCAAACTCGATAAACTATTAGCATCATGTCACTTTAATCTCTTAGATTTTTTTTCTTCGTAGATTACTGCATGAATTCTGGTTTTTAATTTGTTTTAGTCCATTTCACAATCACGAATTATGTTCATGTTAATTCATTTAATTATCGTGTTAGAAAACATCAACAGATATACGATTTATTTATTAAACGTGTTAAAAAATGTCAACCTGAGCAAGATATGTTTATTACACGAGGTTGACATGCTAATTTAGGAACGTACAATGTTTTTATTTTTGCCTTTTTTAACATGCAATGTTTATTATATCTTGTTTTATGAGGCTCCTCAACTAGTGGCGTTGAAATGCCTATAAAATATCATCCCGTGAAACAATGATTTTAAGTTATGTTTTAAAATAAGGTCTGCATTTAGCACTAGAATTATTATCGTCGATATAAAAAGATAAATTATGTCTCACCCTTCCACTTCCAAATTATACAAGGCATATGACATATAAATAAAAGAAGTACTACTCATTATCATGTCAAATCATCCACATCACTAAATAATTTGCGAAGCATACAATGATCAATACTTTGTTCCTCGAGTAAATTTATTCACTAAAAAAGTTGAAATAACAAAAGAATTACACCAAACTCTACCCAAAAACAAAAAAACAAAAAATACGTGCACAAGTAACTTCTATTTCCAAACTAAACAAATATACATATTTTACAGCTTCCTCGACTCTAATCTTTTACGTGTAACTGCATTTTCTGAAAACTCATCTCACATAAAAAACAATTTTGTGGTTATGGTTGATCAAGTTTACTTTTCTTCTAGTTTCCCATTTCCTTGGATCTCTCTTGGGTTTCAGCTAATTCATATGACGAATTGACGATGCTGTTTTTGATTTTTTTTTCCCTTGCTTTCGCGCAAAAGAAAAAGAAGGGACCTGAGCATACAGAAACATGCCACAAGCTACAAATACCAACAGAAGATTTAAAAAAAAAAAAGCTTTATTATTAATATTATTATTACTAATATATATTATTATTATTTTGAAAATCTTTGCAAAAGGGCTTGGAGGAGAGTTAGTTATCAGAACGAAGCTAAACAGGAAAATACTAGAGGCACCTTCTGGTTCGTGGTAGAGCTAGAAATTTCTTTCGGTGAGTGCACAATATATATATATATATATATATATATATATTTATATAAGTTCTAATTTTTGTTTGATTGAGGACAATTATAAGTTTTTACAAATTGGTGAATTATCATAACTTTTTTCATGAAACGAAAACAAAATTGAAATTTTAGAGAAATCTTTGTACATCAAAATTTGAGTGGGAACACGTGGCTACATCAAATTGCATGTGGCTCCACGACTAGATTTTATATGCGAAATGCCGACAAAATGTAACGTTAAAACAAATGTTATACACTAATTGAAAAATAGAAATAAGTAAATTACCATGGCGATCTAGCCAAAATTGGTTATTTTGTTAGTGTTACTATAACTATTTTGTTACCTGTGCCACTTCCAGTAGGTTTGAGGATTTTCCATTTCCCTGCTTATAGAAGCCATTGCCAATGCAATGAAGACCCATCGGAAGTATCTATAAATATCTCCCCCTAAATCTAGGAACCAGACTTTCACAACACCCCCACCTGCAAAACATCATTAGATTAATCTATTTGTATTCCAAAAATGTTCAACTGAATTGTATGACTTGTTAGATTTTCATGTTGTACATGTATAAAACTTAGAAGGGTGGTTTTGAAATTCCCAATGTATTTCAGAAACAATATATACCTGAGAGGGATTTGTGCCCGGGTTGTTGGAGAGAATGAAAATGACGTTTTTCTTCTGAACAACTCCATCAGCCACCCAATGAGAAGTCCTGTAGCTCCCAGTGAGAAAACAATGGGGATATTGCTTGACCTGCAAGAAACATCCATGATGTGTTTTTGTTTCAGATTCCAGTGCTAAAATTTATTTTGAGATCTACGGTAGGATATGAAAAAATAAGCTACCGGTCGGACTCTATTTTGAATCTAATATTAGATTATGTAAGCTTTATATATATATTTTTATTTTTTTTGTGATTTTAATAAGATCTCCCAATTATATTTTCCTTTTCATTTTTGTTAAATCCCCAAAAAAAAAAAAAAAAAAAAGATAAATACTCGTTAAAATGAATTATTTATTTTTGTATTAATATCTCTTAATTAAAGAATATATTAATAAAAAAATATTAATTAAGAGTAAAAAATTAAAAATTTTAGACAAGAGTTCATTAATTGGGCAATTATGGTTCCAACTTGCCAAGCTGAAAAATTCAGTCCACATGACAATAATTGATAGTGAAATAATGTACTTTGGTGGGTAAACTTTATTACTTTTTTGGCTGCACCAATTTACTCAGAAAAAAAAAGTATTTATTTGTTCAAATTCTCTTTCAACTCCATAATTGGAAGAAAAGTGGGTCTCAAGGCTCAACCTTTGGCACAAAGAAAAAGACAAGCACTAAAGTAATGAGAAAAAAATGTCTTTTCTTGGTTTGTTAGCATCAAAATTATAATACTGGACATGCGAAGAAAAAGAGAGATTTTTTTCCCCCTCTTTCCAAAAGATATCAGTTTCGACGTTCGACTTTTGAGTCATTACCTTTTGTGAAAAGCAAATAAAAAGAAAGCCTGATGTCATTTTCTTGCATCATCTTCCCTTTGAAGTCTTGATTTCACACCCAACCAATCGTTCCCTTCTCTTTCAAATCTTTTGGCACAATTATCACCAAAATAAACAGACTAATAAATCCTCATTTCAACTTGGTATTTAACTTATTAGGTGACAGAGAAAGGTCCTTGTGATTTTAACTACATCATATTTATTTTAGGGAAAAAAATTAAAGGAATTAAAACTTGAGATTTTTGCTATGAATAAAGCTTGAGATTTAAAGGTGCTAGTATTAGTTTTGCGGTTGAATATATAGACACGTATGTTTTCTGGTGCTGCTGTATATTACTGTCCTTGTGTATTTCTACTTTAGTACATTAATAGATATTCTCTAGCAAGAAATATCTTGTAACACATACGACTTTGGGTTTTGGTTGGTTATTCCTTTATTATTATTATTTTTTGATAATTCCTTTAACATTCATTATAATAGCGCACAAGTGAGCCTTTAAAGTCTCAAATTTAGAGGCCCAAAACTTAAACCCAAGCTACAAAATCGCCTTTCTTTTTATTTTTTTTTTAATTTTCCGTTTCAGGTTACTTTTCTTTTCCCCCTTATTATGTATTACCGATCTTGAAAAAAACGAATTCTTTACATTGGTAATTACATGTTGGTGAAATTGAGTGGGGGAGAATTTACTTACATTATTATATATACTACAAGAAGAAAGGAAAGATTCACTGTTCACTTACTCAAAATTTACTATTCATTGCACAGTAATATTCTCAAAACTTTCGCTTCTATCCTTTATTTTTTGAGTGTAAATTGTTAATTTTACCATTTTTTTATTTCTCTTTCCCCTTCTCTGTGCATGAGTTTTTACGTCTTTTGATCTAAAATTGTCACGTGTCGATGTTGGGTAGGCTGAAAGAAAAGTGACGGGACCCACCACTGTGAAGCTGCCCCCTCTTTCCCATGCAAATGCGCTTCTCTTACGCGTGTTTTTCACGCGCGAATCACAGCCGTCAAAATTTTTGATAGGACAGTTTCAAACCATTTTCAATTTATTTTTTAAATTTTTAATCTTTATTATAGTTATTTACTATTTTGAATTGATTTAGAGTTTAATTTTGTCCGTTTTACTAACATTTTGTGCCAAATTTTTTAATTACTTAAATAAAAATACCATAAATAATACAATAAAATTAAATAAAAATATGCATACTAAAGGAAAAGAAATGTACACTGTTCTCACACACACAATTTACTATTAATTGTACAGTAATATTCTCAAAATTTCGCTTCTGTCTCTTATCATTTGAGTGTGAATTATCAATTTTATCCCTTTTTTTCTTCTCTTTTTCCTTCCCTGTGCATCGGCTTTTGCATATTTTGTTTTAAGATTG